AGAGCCTGTGTGAGCACCCCAGGGATATTTCGACCTACATGCATTTTCTGGCATTTTAGTGCCTCTGTTATGCTGGAGTCCTCCGCGGGGAATTTTGCGCTACTTTCACAGGAAGTCTTGGAAGGGAAAATAAAACCTCTGTTTTCCTTTCAGCAGGTTAAACGTGGTGGTGCTCACGCAGCAAATTTAAGGGCAGGTGCCTGCACCGGAGCAGAGCGCTTGGTGCGCTTGCAGGGCTTGGTGTACGCACAGAAGACGACAGGCAGCCGTGTCCAGCTGCGGTGCTGGGCGATGAGTGTGGATGGTGGAAACCGAGCTCTGTCAAAGCAAGTGGTGGGGCCTCTGATATCACCACTGAAAGCGCTTTTCAGAGTCTCACTTAGCACCCATGGGGATCACCGTTGGTGCCAGGCAAGCAGCCCCTGGGGCTCTGCAAAGCTGCTGGTGCAGCCACACTCCTGCTCTGGTGGCTGGGGAGCATGAGCTCCTTCTCACCAGGAAGGGTCAGGCTGTCCTCAGTGATTGCTGCCGAAGGGGAACCAAAAGGGGGATCTGCAGGACCCCTCTTTGCATGTCACTGCTGTGGCAGGTCTCAGCAGATGTGAATGCCACTGATTCATGAATAGGAAGAGAGTGTAGAGAGGGGCAGGGAAGAGAGTTTAGGGCTGCAGCTGTATAACCCTTTGAATTGGTATGGTGGACTGAAGTATGTCAGGTGTACTTTAAGAAACAGCAGTGTACCTCAAAGTAAGAAATCTCAGGGAAGTCTTGGTTTTTTCTTCGTGGGCCACTTTTTCAGTGACAAACCACTTCTGGGGGGGAAGTGCTGACCAAATTCATTACAACTTGAGCAGTTGCAGTGAATGGAGACGAGCCTGAGCATGCTTTGCAGTATGCTCAGTATGAGCTGACCTTTAAATGATGTCATTTTGGCTAAATATAAATTTACATATGTTGGCCCAAATTATCTCAGGGAGCAGGCTTTGCGGAGCTCTCCCTCTTGTACGTAAGCACAGGGTGGGGTCATTGCAGCCTTGCTGGGGACATTCCCCTCTTTCTCAGATCACTGGCATTACGAAACGGGAGAGGAAGCGTGAGGAGAGGAATCTGTATCCTCAGGACAGTGTCACAGTTTGTTCGCCAGAGCCTCACAGAAGAAAAGTTCCTGGTAGCTCAGCGTGTCCTCTGACCTGACCAGCCACGGGCTGGATGGGGACCATGCATGGAAAACTCTTCAAAGATACCCTTACACCGCTCTACTCTCCTGAGAACCCTTTTCTATAGTAGCCTCTGTAAGGAAGTTATTCAAGCTGTGGTTATTAAATAAACTTATAAAGATATGTAGATATTTGGAGAATACATTTTTTCTCATTTATTTCCCTCTGAAATTCAGAAATATTAAATAGAGGGGTTTATATTATGGGAATGTCACAGAGATCATGTAAAATTTTGCTCATTCCTAATCTGTGTTTCTCTGACACCTTGCATTTTAACACAACACAGGTGTTTTATGTCACATGGGGAAAACAGTAGCATAGTGAAGAGGAAAAAGTGTGTTTCATACACTTATTTATGAACTTACATCTGCTTTCATCAGAGTCAGTGGTTGGCAAAACTCCAATCGGCTTCAGTAGGAGTGGGCGCTAAATTTAACCATCAAATCAGCTTGATTCTAAGTAACCCTCAATAAAGGTGAGGCTTCCAGGTCCAAGGACCCATGGAGAAATACTTTCTTCAATAGACATTTATCAGCAATCAGAGCTGAATCAGCTCAGGACTGGACAAAGTGCTCTTGGGTAGCATGATTGTAGTCTTTCCACTTTTTTTTTTTTTTTTTTTGTAAATTCCAGGTGTAACACAGTATATTTACAAAGGCTAAAAATAACACGCAGCTGTGAAGAAAAACATCTCGAGTTTCATTTCAGACCTGGAGCTGAGGATGAATCACTGCAAAGCTGCACCCTTTACACTGGGCACACTTTCTGAAAGCCGCTTTTCCACTGCCCCTGCTCCCCCAGTGGTTCAGAAATAAAGCAGACTCACAGAAAGTCCTAAAAAAAGCCTTTGCAGACAATCACTCTCTTGTTGTTCTGGGCACTAAAACCACCATTTTCTAGTGTCTGCTTGCATTTTCAGTTTTGCTTTCTACACTGTAGGAGTCCATTCCAGCCATTTGAATTAAGCCTTGGTTCAGTGGTATGCATAAGCACACGCTCAATTTGAAGTACCTGAGTCGTCCTGTTAGCTCCCATGGAGCTGCTTACATGCTTGAAGTTAAGCGTGGTCTTGGAAGACTTGCTGAACTGGGGATTTGCTTGTCCACCCAGTAAGCTAATGGGACAAAACCCTTCACCATCTGCTTCTGGATTTTAATCAAAAGTTATGACTTAGTTATGATCTTCTTCCCCACCCCCGTCTGTTTATATTCAGAACAGAAAACCAGCGCAGAAGCCCTGTCAGATTGCCAAAAGCTGTGTGCTACTACTGGATCGTTCACATCATTTACTGTTCAGTGTTTACAAGAGTGTTTTTAATGCACGATTGCTCATAGAAGTGGTGTAGGCTAATACTGATGTGATATTTCACATCAGCAGCAAGACTTTTATGTCCTTATATGCCAAGTTCCTTTTCACAGGAAAACAAAGTAAAGTAACTGTGCCAGTTAGGCCAAAGGATGCTGCTAGCTCTCTGTTTCCCAAAAACATCCCTAAAAAGTCAGTGAATAGGCCAAATGGTTCTTTCTTTTGTCTTTGTAACATAGCTGACCTTGGGAGTCAGGGTGGGCATCTGCACAGGTATAAGGGCAGGAGTTGGACGATGTTTCCAAATATACGTGATTTATTATGCAGACTCACTTATGCACATATGCCCTTTGTATTTGTTAAAGGTAAACAGAAAAAGCCAACATTTTAGTCACAAGCAATCATCACAAAAGCTCTTTTTCAACATGTTTACGTCTGAAAGAAAAAGTTACTTAGTTTTGCTTAGCTCTGTTTAGACAGAAATAAGCTGCATCCCAGAATTATATTTAGAGGTATGTAGTGGGCTAGGAAAGTTAAACCTTAGAGAATAATGCCCAAGTATTCTGATTCTGAGGAAAGGCTAAATTCACCACCACTCAATGACAGGAAAGACCATGTGCTGACTATATCTTCCCTTGTGGTTATTATTCAGTCCTGTGGCTGACGAAGCAGTTGTAGGACCTTTACACAAGGCAGATTTCATATGTAATATGTTTTGCGGCACCCAAGATATTTTATACCTGAAAAAGGTATGTGAAGCCAACATTTCCCAGGCAACATTTGAGGCCCTGTTTCTTCTCCTAAAGAAGATGACAGGACCCATTGAATGGTTTCTGTGATATATTTTATTTTTAAACTGAAAGCCATCAGCAGTTAATTTTTTTTTACAACATAGTAAAATTAGTAGTAACACTGCGTAGAAGAAAACTGATATACCTAAAACGTACTTCTAGTATTTAAGATGTATACTAAATCTTTACAGCTTTCCAAGTGCTAACTATTTTTTAAAACACATGTGAAAATTATAACTGCATTAGTTTCTGACCCACGGTAGTGCTGAGCAGTCAACTCAACCGAGTCACTTGGACATTGGATAAAATATCTGCCGCATCCTTTTGATGTATGTTGAGCAGACAGTGGTCCAAACTGTATATTACTTTTCCTCTTTTGTCCTCAAACAATAGCAAAATTCTTCTGGGAAAGCACCTGTATTCTGACCACTGGTTAGCTTACAGTGACATTGCTGCCCAACACTTGCAGCAAGAACTGGGATTTCTGAGCTGGGGAGAGCAAGAGGCTCTGGGTGAAACACATTTTGGGGGGCAGGGGGCAGATCCTGAAACACGCTTCCAGGACTCTGGGTCTTGGAGGGTCTCTTGGTTCTCTGGACCAAGATGGTTTGCAAGGAACCGACATGAAGCATTGCAACATGACTTGCTGCTTGTTTAATAAGACCATAGTACAGTTTCAGGAGTTAAATAGCAGGACTAAAAGAAAACTTGTTAGTAATGTAGTATCACTAAAGAAACCAAAACCCAACTAACACCCTCCTTCCCTTGCCAAACAGCCTCTTTACATTTAAAGGTATTCCCCGAGGCTCTGTTCTTTATTTTGAGTTTTGTAACAATTTTTCTCTCTCTGATGAAACACATTGTAGACATTAAATTAAGGGACAAATATGTCTGTGTCTGCCAGAAAGAAAACTGTGATGCAATTAAAATGCCATTAGGGAACCCCCTGTGGGATGTTAAACCTAAAGACTCTATTCAGAAAGCAAAGCCAAAATTAAAGAGGTGTCTGGTTGCAGATCCTCTGCAGATTTCCATTTCTTGACTACAGTACCATGGAGACTGTGCTAGTCAGGAGCTGAAAGGTTTTTCCAGTCATGCGTGTGGTATTTTGAATCATGGCTTTGGCAAATGTTCCTTTTCTGTAAGCCATACGTAGAAGTGTGTCTACATTGCATGACATAAAGTGCAACTGTGCGTGCCCCACATGAAACAATGACAGCAGTGGAGATGGGAAGCTGTCCAAGCTTGGACAATGACAACTAATAATAGTTTTCCCTCATAAAATTTACATTAAGTGCATCTCTATGTTTGCTGAATTGTCTGTGAGATGTTTGGAGAGAGAAGTGCAGCTACTTGCAGCCATCAGGCTCAGCAAGCTCATGAACAAGCCTCCATTCTAGCCCAGTCTCTGGAAATAAATCATCAGTGTTTATATGTTTGGAGACATATAAGAGCCTGATCCTTTGAAAATAAAAATAAATATATGGTCCATTGAGGCTGGTCATTTTTTCTGAGGCAACTGAAGGAATCAGCTGGAGTCATTGGGTGGTAGGTACTGAGTTTTCCAGTGACAGCCCAACCAACAGCTCGAGTCTCATTTTTTCCATTTCATTCAGTGTGATTCTTTGCTGAGGATATTAGTAGGGACTGGAATAATAATAGAAGCATACCTCTCTCCTCTGTTTAGGAATTCTCCTGATGACTGCAGCGTGGCAAAAGGAGGGAAAATGGTTAGCGGCTCAGACAATGTTGGGATGAACTATGGAAACTACATGGAAGAGAAGCACGTTCCACCCCCAAATATGACTACCAATGAACGAAGAGTCATTGTGCCAGCAGGTTAGACCCTCTACACAAAAATTTCAAGCAAAAAAATGTATTTCCCCTAAGTCTACTGACATTATTTAAGAAGATTTGGAGAAAAGTGGCGATATGATACAGGTGATCAGGAAGAAAAGAGCAGTAATAGCCTAGGGTTATTAAGAGAACAAGCTGGGAAATATCGTAGTGAAGCCACCTCCTCAACCTGTTCTTCCCATTTCAGCAGCAGAACTGGCTGATTACAGACACTCAGATCTTATCTGACTTCTGTAGCTCCTTTTGGAGTATTCACTGTAAAGTGGGCAAAATGAAGAGCCACTTCCATTTCCTAACACCATGGACTAGGTGGGTGCAGAGTGTGTGGGAGAGAGAAAGGATCACTATACCACATGGTATCCCTGCAAATACCAAATGCAGTCCAGCCCTCAGCACGTTAAAAACACAATAGCTTCTGTGAAATCGAGCAGTGCATGAAAAGCATTTATCTAGCTTATCCCCTGAGTTTGGGCGGTGTAAAACATTTTAATAAGCAAACTGACAACTCCGCTGCAATATAAGAGCACAGTTGAGAAATTCTTGGTTAGTTTTGGCAAGCTTGGTTGTGGGATTCAGCAGTTAATTGAACAAGAAGACATCTACTCCTCTGTGCCTTGTCTTCCAAACAAACCTCTGCTGGAAGGTCTGTTGCCTTGGTTTGCAAAATAATTAGCATGCCTATTTCTGAAGTCAGAGCATTAGACCATCATGACATATGTGGGTGTTCATAAACCACTGGATATACACAGCATAGACACAACACCTGCAACCTGCAAACAGAAGGGAATGTTTTGCTGCTAGTTCCTTTCCAGCAGAGATGTGCCTGTCTGAAACATTTCTGCTACTGCTGTGTTGCTTAATATTCTTACAGTTTTTCAGTTGCTAAGATATGCAAGAGTACTAACTGTGGCCAATTTTGCAAGCTGTGATTATTTCAGTTATTTGTCAAGATACGTGTGGACAAATATGTTGCAGTATCCTCTGCAATGGTATTGACAGTTCTATTCTGAAGCACAGAAGAGTGATGCACTGAATAATGAAGTGTCCTGCCTAACTGGAAGCAGACCACACTGAAATTCACATTTGAATATTCTTCTAAAACGTTTATCTCCTTCGTGGTTGGCACTTTTTTCAGTCTTTTAGTAACTTAGCATGGTTAGCTCAGCAAGATCTCTTTTTCTCAGTGTATTCCTGGAGGTGTGTTTTGAGGTGGATTTGAGTGACATTCAAGGAACAAGATGGTCACACTCACAGCCTGGCTATTTTGAGGTCCCTAGAAGAAATGTATGGGTAAAAATCAGTTTGTTTGACTACCACGTAGGCAGTGTGCAGCTCATGTGGCAATGTTTAGGAATAAAAAAAGCAAAATTCACATTTCCAGCTGTGGTAACTTTCTAGTTATCATAAATAAGAAGCATTTAAAAGTTATAGGCATAATGAAAATATTTTGGTAAACTTCCTGGTGTTTGGTTGTTTACTTCAAACCAATCTGAATGTAGTTGTTGGAGTTCTCTGCTGTAGATGCGGCCAATCTCATCCAGACCCTAGGTTTACCAACCAGGCTTGCATCTCTCTAAATTGCTACATATTTCATACCAGGTGGAGGGGTTCTTTTAAGTGTTTTTTGGTGCACTTCAGGGAAGAGAAACCCTCTGAAGTTCCAGACGATTAAATATTCTGACTTGCAAGGGCTTAAAATGCCAAAAGAAGCATCAGAAAAGAGGCACTAGTGGGTGAAGGATTGGGAGTGAGCAACAGCATGACAGACTCTGAATAGTTCCTAGCCCATGAAAAGAAGTCCCCACCTCTTTCAGACCAGCCTGAACAACAGTCAAAAGAGAGGGGTTGGCACTGAATTAAGCCACATAAAAGCTATTTAGGCTGTCACTCAAGTCCCAGCCCTTCCACAGAATTCTATGTGACAGAGTACAGCCATTTGACCTCTGTGTGCTCCATTCTCAGTCTTCAGGATATCACAGAATATCAGAATTATTTAGGTTGGAAGGCACAAACTCTCAAGGAGTTAGTTTCCCCTTAGCTTTATTCTTTTCTCTTCAAAAAGTATAAATTCTTCATGGTAGGAGCTGTCTTCCATTATGGGGATGTGCACTGCAGGTTGTTAGGGACCTGCATGTTGATGGGTGCTTACCGTAACTCAAGAATAGGGAGAAGTAGGATGGAAGAGAAATAGAAAAGCAGGAGTTTAGAGGCAAAAAAGAAGTTTAAGTTAAAATCAAGGATTCATTAAAAAACACAAGGTATTTGGCCTCATGTTTTGCTAAAAATCTGGGCTAGTTCTTGGTTTTTTTCCCGGATGGTTTTGTCAGTGCTTCAGGTAGTAAGTAAAAAACCATGCAGGTGTAGCAATGTACACCAGTACAACACAGCAGTCTAGGAAAGGAAGTGCAGAATATTTCAATATGTCCCACTCTAGTTTATGAAATAACTAGCCAAATCTGTGAGAGCTTACTTAGCCTATGCCCAAGAAACAGTACTTCTGACTTGAGTGGAAATTTCACTTGAATAAAGATACCAATTCAACAGAGAGCTTTGAAAATTCCTCAGATACAAGTCACAGTGCTGTTAGTGGGCTCTCTTAAATACTTTTCTAAAGAGTATTCTCTGCATGAGGACAGGAGCCTATGTTAATCTGTGGATAATAATGCATAAAAATAACAAGACAAAAGAACTAAATGGGAGAAGGAGCTCAACAGCGAGGGTTTGTTAATAATCAGAACTCACAGCTCTTCCCTAATAGTTTTTCACAGACAGTTACTCTCCTTTGCACTCAACAGGCCAAATTAATTCCTCATGTATCTCCAGCAGTCAGTAAACAGGGGATTAAGGTCTCTCCAGTTTGACTGTGGTCTACATTTTTTTTGTACCGGTCCAGTGCATCAGCACTCTCCCCTCTCTGCCTAATTTTATGCTTTGTGATACCACCAGATCCTACGTTATGGAGCACAGACCACGTACGCCAGTGGCTGGAATGGGCGGTGAAGGAGTACGGTCTCCCAGATGTGGACATCTTGTTGTTCCAGAACATCGATGGGAAGGAGCTGTGTAAAATGACCAAAGACGACTTCCAGAGACTCACCCCAAGCTATAATGCAGATATCCTTCTGTCACACCTACACTACCTCAGAGAGAGTAAGCTAGTTTTCTGTCATTATGGTAGTGGCTACAGTCAATCTGTGGTTGATATCAGTCTTAGATTTAATGGTGTGGTTACACTCAGCTGGGTTTTCAAATGTCTGTTGCAAATGTTGCTGTTCTTAAGAACATAGTGGGGAGCCTGATCCAAAGCCTCTTGAGTTTGATGGAAAGATTCCCATTAATTTCAGTTGGTTTTCACTCATGTTCATTGAAGAAAAGAGTTAGGGAATATTTCTACATGTCCATCTCAGAGAAAAATCAAATTGAAACCCAGCATATTCATCAGCATACTGTAGGAAGAAAATCATATGGGATTCAGTGCTAATGTTTTTTCTGGTCACATACTCATTTCTTTCCATTTTAATGATAAGAATGCTAAACGTGAGAGTGCAAACATTGATTCATAAAGCGAATTCCAGGCATGATTCTAAGGACTGACAGCAGTTTGCTCTACTCTGAATAGGATCAGGAAGATTTCACTGAATTGAATAAAAGTTCTGTAAATTCACAGAAAAAAGGAACAGTCCCTGAAGTCCAAATGCAAATTACTTGTAGTGCATGGCTAGCATTTCAAAGCGAAAGAAGGGACTAGTGAATTCCTGGCTTGAGGGCTTTCATCTAAGCTTGAGGAAATTTTGCAGGTTTGCCTCAGTTTAAAGAAGTTAAAGTGAACATGGTTTTTAAAGAAAAAAACAACAAGCATTGCAACACCAGTGCGGTGCAGTCTTCTCCACACGCACACTGTCAATAATCAGTCAGAAATATTATGCATTCATAATGTTGAATAAATGAATGCCCTAGTTTAAGCTGTAGCACACACGCCTCCCTCCAAACTGCAGACTGAAACTGACTGTCGGTAGACTTGCATTCAAACAATCCTGTCAGGGGAAAATATTGTTTAAAAAGATAATTCACAATTTTTTTTCATTTTGGTGTTGCTTTTTGTTTTGTTTTGTAGCTCCTCTTCCACATTTGACTTCAGATGATGTTGATAAGGCCTTACAAAACTCTCCACGGTTAATGCATGCTAGAAACACAGGTAATGCTGGCACTGCTCCCATTGCTATAGGTCATCTTCTAAAAGCACAGGATTCCTTTTTATGGGTTGCTTGCTAAAAATGGAAATGGTAAATCAGGAGGTAGACAAGCATATCCTCTCCTGGCTGTGTGTGTGAGTTTCATGCACAGACACAGAAAAAGAGTGAGATCACGTAGGGCCAGATGGTGCAAAAATGATCTCCTTACTGGTAATTTCTTGATTCCTGCAAGAGAATGGGGTCCCTTACACATGAAAAACAGCAGGCTCGGGGCCTTTGTGTCTGAGGACTTTTTTTCTCATTCTGTCTCATTGTACTGTCAGATCTACTCCACAGATTCCTAGAAGGTTGGTGGAGCCCAAAAGTGCTTCAGCATTTGCCTAAGTGCTGTGGGCTCTGGTGAATGGTGACTGTCTCCCCTCCCATGCAGTATATAACATATACTTCAATAAAATTGCCATTTAGGCAGTTAGCTCATCTCATTTGTCAGTATATGGAACTTGAGCTGGAAACTCCATAAAGTTTGATGTTATAATTTCCACTAAGTCTGATCTGAATGTAAAATGATTTTTGTTAATATTCACCCTTCTGTTAATTTGGCCCCGAAAAGTACTGAGTGTAGGTAGGAGAACGATACAATACATGCCTCAAAAGCATCTGTCTTTCAGGATGTGACTTAAAATATTTATGAAAATAATTCAGAATAGATTTTATCTTGCTCTAGCAGCAGAGGATGGCATGGAATTGTACATATAGTATGGTATACATACTGATTAAAAATGTTTGGAATATTGCATGATCATGCCTGAGGGTATTAGTTACCTACAGTGACCAGAAATAACAGTTCTTTATGAGAAATGAAAAAGATAATACAAAGGATAATGCAAAATAAAATAAAAAAAAAACCACCTTGGATTGGAATTTGTTTTTCATGTTTCATTTAGTTTTTCACTGTGGTAAATAGCAGTGAGTTTCCTAGCAAAATTGACTAGATTAGAAGATCTCTTCCTGAGATTAGATGTTTGCCACTTGACGTAAAGTCCTACTGTGGGCTGTAGGCTTGCTGCAAACCCCACCAAAAGCAACAAAAAATTTTCCATTGACTTTGATGGGGTTTGGAATAAGCCTTAAGCCCTTTTTAAAAATAGATGGACTCGATGGTCTTTTCCATCCCTGGCTTTCCAGATGCTAATTTGCCAAGCAGTTTCCACATATACTTATCCAAGTGTTGTTCAGCAGTTCTATGTGTTATCTTTTTCTGTATGTGCGCACTGACAATGATATATTGAAATTCATTTCACCAAAATGAGATTGTCTGCATTTCTGTCATTGGGAGTGTGAATAATATCATGCTGATCATCAGCACAAGGAAAATTAGTTGTTCTGGTGGCATAGGAACTTTGGAGTGGGATTTCCAAAGGACCCCAAAAGAGTTAGAAATAAGTTCTTCTTGAAGTCAGCAGTAACTGCAAAAATCCTTGTGACCCTTTTCATATTCCTAGAGATGGTCATTAGAAGTCTGTTGATGCAGCTAGAGCAATTTCAATGCCTGAGATGTGAGATACCATTTTCTATATCAAGCTCAGTATTTTTAATTTTTTCATTCTGTGAAGAGAATGAGATTTCTGAGGGTGTGACCCAAAGCCGATCAAAGTCTGTGAGGAGATTCCCACAGACACCGATAGGCTTTGGCCCAGGCCTACAGTCTCTGTTGAAAATATGAACCTGTTTGGGAAGTGCATGCACTAATGAAGAGAGGCAAAGAAGTTTTATTTCAGAGGATATGAAACCACCTGCCCAGGTGGAGGTGATTGTGGGGAAGGTAGAAGGTATTTCCTGAACTTGACTCTCTCCTCTCTTAACACAGATTTTGCACAGACTTTTATCCAGTAATTTGAATGGATTTGCACAGGTGCAAAGGCTATCGGAATTAACTTTTATATCTAACAGTCCTAAGATAGAAAATAGTTATTCGTAGTCTTCATTCAGACACACTACAAGAGGGAAAATATCAGTGGACTTAGGGACTGTGAAAATGAATCTTTAGGTGTTATGTCTTCTTCTTTCTCTTTAGGAGGTGCCACTTTTATTTTTCCAAATACATCAGTTTATCCAGAAGCAACACAAAGAATTACAACCAGGCCAGGTATGAACAATGACCACCTTTTGTATGCTGTAATCTTACTCATTTCATCTCTTGAAGTATCTCGTTCTTTTTCTCCTTCAAGTCTTTTCATAAGTATTAGGCTATATTTTGAATACACTCACATATTATATACATATATTTTATATATATGTGTGTGCATAAATCATTGTGTAGAGTGAGATGATTAAATAGAGCAGTTTAATGTCTGTTTTTGCCACATATCTCTGTCTTTGAAGCAATGCTATCTAGTGTTTAAAGCACCAGAGAATCAGACAATCAGAGCTGTATTCACTGGTTCTGTTCCATTGTCCCAGCGCAGTCACTTTTCAATGTGCTTCAGCTCTCTGTCTGTAAAATAAGGCAAGAATACCCTCTTTTATAATGCTACTTGATGTATATTGGGAAAAAGTACTCTAAAAATGCAGGATACATGTTTCTCCTGCTATCTTCTTTTCATTTATGTTTGAGGCAAATAAACCCCACAACATCTGATTGTGAGTTTAAGAGATTAAACAAGTAAAATCAAAACATAAGAAAGTTCTTATTGCTCAGAAGTTTGAAGCCCATGAAAGTATTGTGGGTGTGCTGGTTTGTGAAAGGCTAAAGGGAGTAATTAAAGAAGATGAGGACATTGCTATGAAGCTAAAAATTTTCTTTACATCACCCTTCACCACTAAAGATGCTGGAAAAATGCCTAATCTGGACATTTGGTTTTCCAGTAATAAGCACAAAGTACTGTGAGACATCAAGAGGAGTTGCAGCAAAATACTAAATTTAAAGGAAATCAATTACTGAGCCAGAGGCATACATCCAAGTGTTCTGCAGGGACATACACTTGAATTGACTGAACACTTGTGAGAAGATACATTCTCTCATTAAAAACAGAGGGGGTTTTGGATAGCAAATATTTTATCTAACTTTTATCAGTGCTCTAGAGTATAATCCAGGAGATTATACACAAGTAACTATTTTATATACACTTGTATACATGTATATATGCATGTCTGCAGATTTGTTAATTGATAATTAAAAAAGATAGATGGGGAAACAGCTACCAGACCATTACATGATCAAATCCACCCTGTTCGGTTTCTAGGAAAACAAACTCTTCTGCTAGATTTGTTTGTCTATAACAATACTGTAGTTAATAGAAAGGAAACCACTGATCCAATGCATACATTTGGCATTTGGCTTTCATAAGACATTTACCAGAGTGCCCCACAACTATTTACAATAAAAGTTAAATCAACATATCAAAAGAAACAAAATATTTTAACAGATCAAGAACTGGCTAATTAACCTGTTACGAAGACTAAATAATGGACATCTGAAGTCATGGGTGCTTTAGCATTCTCTGTCTATAGTTCTGATCTATATTCTCTGATATATAGTTATTAATAATTGGAAAACGGACAGAAAATTTGGTATAGAACTTGGAGATGATGTACGATTTTGTCATTACTTAAAACCAGAGATTCCTCTAAAGGATTCCTGTACAGGTGCCCAGAGCCTTATTAGAGATCAACGAACTGGCAATATGCTAACAGCTGAAAATACAAGTTCATAAATGCAGTGTAAGACACAAGTTATTTGCGTATCTTACTGATTTCAAATTAACTCTCTTCACTCATAAAAGAAGAACTTAACATAGGCATCTTTATTTATGGCACAATGAAAGTCACTGCTCTAGTTGTTGACCGAAGTCAAAAAAAAGTAAACAAATGAAGAAACACAGTGGAGGATCATATGAGAGATCTGACTGTGCCATTAAATAAATCAGCAGTATGGCCTTGTACAGAAAGCTGTGTGAATCATCCCTTATCAAAAAGGCTATTTGCAGAATTAGAAGGCGCTTAGAGCAAGCCGTGGGGATACGGAAAATCTTTCGAGCATGTTGAAAGATATAAAAGTTTGAAATTTTTCAACTCAGGGTCTGGGGATGAGGAAACATGATATAATTATCAAAATAAAGAGTGTCACAGAGTACCTGCTTAGCCTCAGTATTAGAAGAAGGGGTATTCCCAAAAAAGTTAAACATTTTCATGAAACGTTAAAGCAGACTGTGGCCCTTGTGGTGACAGGTTATAGTAGCACCCAGGAGTTTTGAATGGTAGGGAGGAATCTGGACATGAATATGGATGAGAAGACAAAGCATAGCTATAGAAACGATTACCATCTATGCAATGTAAAACTGGATGCCAGGAGCTCTCAGTAGTTTCCAACGAAAATGAGCATGTAACGTAAGACCAGAGGGACCTGGGTGTCCTGCAGGAAATAACCATGCCAAATGAGAGGATTTCAGGCAAAGGCTAGAATGAGTCTGGTGTGAAAGAATACTATTTTATGGGTGTGTTTCCACTGGACTTGAACAAAAACTGGATTTTGTCATCCCATGAGAAATTCTATGATTTCAATATTTGTTTCATCCTGACTTGTGATGGAAAAACAAAATACTATTTTCTCTGAAGTAAAAGGTTCTAAAAAACCCACATATCAGACATGGTGAAGTCCTTCATTTTAGCATTTTTATCCAAATGACATTTACAATGACACTTTTACAAAACAAAATTCTTTATGTCAACATTAAAAGCATCTTCCTGTGTTGACACAATTCCTTGTGGGAGTTGTAGTTTGGATATGGGGTGTCTCTATTCTTCTGTGTAAACTGGTGTATCCTAACTAAACATTTCCTGCAACAAACTATGATGTGATTTTGAAAGTATTATTTTATTTCATCTTTTACAATTGAAAGTTGACAAACATCTTTGCAGTCAGAATTTTCATCAGAAAGAAAAAGGTGGGGTTTTTTGCAGAAATTCAGTTTTCTCTCAAGAAACTATTTTGTTGGCTTATTCCATGGCTTTCCTTTTCGTTAAATGTCACATTTCAACTAGACTGCAAAGAAGCTTTTCCGTAACAAAGCACCCTTCGTGTGAGAGCAATGGCAGACCCTGGGGACAATCACTTGATGACATGAAAAAGGTCAAAAATGAGGGGGGGGAGTAAATAATGTTAAATGGGAATTAGCCAAATCCTGGGATGCAATTCTGGAGAAAGTAATTAAGCATTGCCATTGTTAAGGCACTACAATAGAAAATAGGAAATGAGCAGGGCTCGTAATGAACTGCAATGACAAAGGCCTATTTCTTCAGTCACCTTTACAACAGAACATGAGGTTTCAGCAAGCTGAGAGTAATACAGTGAAGTTATCAGGAGCTCAGAAAGACCTAATATGGGTTTGTCTACATGGCTCATCAAACAGCATTCCCATCAAAGATCTGCCCAAGATAAGGACATGTTGTACTAATATCTCATGAATAAGAACAGATCTGCTTATCTAGGATAGCAACATGTTTATCAAGGCACAATACTGAACTAAGAACGAAGTTGGAATTTTGTGCTATTTCAAGAAAGGCTGATAACTGGATTTTTCTTTTAATGGAGAGGGCGTAGTCAGAAAACCATTTTATGATGTGTTGAGTTAAAAGGCAAAACAGTTTTTTCACAGTACTAAATTTGTACCAAATATATTTTAAGGCTGCAAGTACCACCAAGTACAAGCATGTAACATCACATAGCCCTCTCAGTGTACAAGTGTCTAATTTGGAGACCCACAAATATACAAAGGGAGGAGAAGAAAGGAGAGGAGAGGAGAGGGGAGAAGAGGGGAGGAGAGGAGAGGAGAGGAGAGGAGAGGAGAGGAGAGGAGAGGAGAGGAGAGAGGGGAGAGGAGAGAGGAGATTGTGGGAGGAGTTGCACAGCCTGATGACAGGCACATACCTTCTATGTGATCTTTTTCCCCTATTTGTCTGTAGTGTTTCTGGGCAGGGAATGGAAGAACTACAGGAAAAAAATAGGTTCCTTGTGTCACCAGAATCTCCCTTGCAAGTCTGCCATGGAGGTAGAGATCTGGCCAGGCAAGGCAGGGCTGGACAAGATACATGCAAGCAGCCCACGGCGGAGCCCTGTCCCCCTCTGTACAGACAGAACTCGGAAACCCCTGGAAACATGACCAGAGTCCTTCTGAATTTTTTTGCCAGATGATAAAGTCCTCAGGCCATGAGGTGTCTCTAACTACAAAAATTAATAGCAGTGTTGATCTCAGCTTGGTCAGGACATCTGCACGTTACAATGATTCTCCTGCACACCAGTATTCTGCTCAGAGATGAGCACTTGTGCAATCCACGTTATTTTCTCCGAGTTTCTGAAGGACAAGAGTGTGGAATAGTTCTCAAGAAATCCAGCATAAAAAGGCACTAGTTATTCAAATGTAATACAAAGATAAATTGCATATCTCAGCAAATGCAAAGTTTTTGAAGTATAAGATTCCGGGAGACGACAGTGCTGGTAATGCCAGTCTGCTACTCAAGCCAAACAGACTAAATAAATTAAAGGCAATTTGGTTGTGAATTTCACATTACACTTTATTTCCATTCGATACTTCTGCTCATAGTGCTTGGAAATGGGCAGATACATGTGTTTTGCACAGAGCCAGTCTGTGACTGTTTCTTTACTTCCTAACTGGTTCCATTTCTAAAATAAAGCACAAGCACTGTTAAGAATCAAACCATCTGCACCAGCTTAGTTATACAAGGTGGGTACTGCTACCTTCCTGAGATCCTGGGCACGCTACTTAAGTCTCTGATTTTGGCAGCAATTTTACCTAATGTGTTAAAGCCAGCCACAGAAAAGCACAGGCAACTGCAAAAGATTTCAAAGGGTAAACCAAACATTTGAATTTCCTATGTATATTTTATGAAGAAAGCTTTTACATTTTAGTTTCTTCATTTTTATATGCTAAAGCAGTTGAATGAAATAGAAGTAATGAGTAAATAAAAGAAAAGGCAAATGAAAATTTAGATACATAAAGTTAAGGAGCTTGTCCCAAAAAGCAGAAAGGACTATTTAAATAGATGAAGCAGGAAAAAAGCTATCTACTTTTTGGAAGAAATATAATACATATACATATATATGTTTAACATTTAAGCATGTTCACTGTTTTCAGTTTCTAAAGATCTGTGAGGATACTGGGGTGTGGAAGGGAAAGTGAAGGAAAAAGAATTACTAATAATTTGAAATGACTAGTAGAAGAGAAACAAGTGCGATTGGCAAAGTGCGGCAATCAATTATCCCAAAAGGTTGGACTCTGAATGATGAGAGTGGGACCAGAGAGTGCATCTGAGGAAGAGAGCACTTGCAAACACAAACATACAACAGTGGTTTAGAGGAATCTCCAACAGACAAAACCAAGACTTTGTTGTCTCTGCCTATGACCAGGTGGCAGAAAAGGGAACTCTCAAACTCAGCCTAAAAGGTTTGATTAATCTCAAGGGGTGACAGCAAAAGACTAACAAAGAATGGCACATTAAATCCACTAAAGTCTATCTTCTTAAAATACTGTTACATGCTGAGATTGGGAGGGAATGGTACACAGTTTATGCTTAATCTGAGCTCTGACCTCTTGGGGAACTTTTTCTGCAAGACTCTAGCATAAATTGTCCCTGATGTGCAGTTTGTGTCATTCCTTGGTGTCCTGGGCTGTGGAAGGAGACCAAAGGGAGTATTCTGAGCCTTTGGAAATGTTGGACTCTATAGAATATTTGTACCAGCTATTTCAGTGCAGTTCAGACACCTAACAAGAATAGGCACCTCTAAAGAGCAATGCAGAGGGCAATGTGGTACTGCTATTTTTAGAGACAATAAAGACGATAAAGGTTTTAACAAGCAGCGTCCTTTCGATTTGAATAATTTTTCCAGTCCAATGGGTCCCCTGGAAATGTGCTCCTTATGGACATAAACACTTTATGCCATATCTGCATATATCAGTGTATTTTTTCTTCACAGATTTGCCTTATGAGCAAGCCAGAAGATCAGCATGGACGAGTCACACCCACCCCAGTCCTCAGTCAAAAGGTAAAAAACATCTGCATATGTCCAGCCTGTGGGCCTAATGCACATCTGGTGCAACCTGGATAGACTCTGAAATGAAGTGATAGGAGCTACCTCAGCATTCAGCTCTGGAGGATTTTTACCTGTGCCTTGGCTGGAAAGCCTGTTAGCTGTGTATGGGCAATACTGGGTGGAGTCACTGGGGCAGCTACATCCTTCCTTGAACTCAAGCTTCATCAGGTCCATGACCATATAGTCTTATAAAGCTAAATCCTATTGTGACCATCGAGTGGTGAGCAGCAGGAGTCAAAGACCTGTGATCTATCACAGGTTTGGTGACCATCTTCGAAACTGGAAAAATAACTACGTGTTTTTTTCCATTTTCAGCTACGCAGCCATCATCCTCAACAGTTCCCAAAACAGAAGACCAGCGTCCTCAGTTAGGTGGGTGTCATTTTGTTTGAATTATGCCTGGGTGTGACAGCGTTTGTTGAACATGATGAGAAAGACAGCTCTCACCTACCAACCAGAAGAAAATGCAACATCTGATTCAGACCACTAATGAGATCTCCAGCTGGTGACCGCTAAATCCCCAGACATGTATGAGTTGGCTCTACATCTGGATCTGAGATGAAGGCCATTGAAAATTGCTTTTAGTAATGTTTAATGGCAGTAACGACCTTGCAGAGTAAAAAAGCTGTTAAACAAAATACCTATATACAGTTTAGGTACAAAGGTGGAAGGTAAGGATGTCAAAAGACTATATATTCCACAGTAGTTGAAAAGCTAGCAGTTGGAAAATGTGCATGAGCAAAGAAAGGAAAATGGATTACACCATAAAGAAGCCTATTTGAATTGGGCTCCTGAAATTAAACAGGAAAATTAGAAGGATTCTTAGTCTATTGGGAAACTGAGGAGAAAGTAGAAGTTTATGAGTTTGTAGACTAGTGTTTTTGCAAAATGGGTGCATTTTGTGGTTTCAACGCAGCTAATCCATGGGGTAGGACCTAATCCCTTACTGTGAGTTAGACTGTGTTTTGGACGGGTAGCTGGAAAGCACTGCAGAGATTCTGAGTCAGTTATGGCTTTTGTTAACAGCAAAAGGGTAGAAATAGGAAATAAAAAAGATACGGAGGATATTCTTAGCTCAGAAGACTCTGAGCCTGTTTTTATCACATGGATTTGAAATCATTATTCTGGTTTTTGTTATAGCTAAATAAGACTGTGCGCATGACTACATCTCATTAACTCATATGCATGCTGCCTGGGAAGTATTATACTGCTTTTTGCTCAAATACTTTTTATCTAATCTGGCCTTCCAACCATGAGAATCTTTCAAGAAATGTACTGATGATTTGTGTAAGTCCTTAGGGCCGTTTAATGGCTGTGTGTGAGCTGCACAGATTATTTAAATGTATAAGGAATGTGACCTGATTATCTTCTTGGCTGTAAAACTGGCGGCCGTTTGAGAGCAGCTGTCCAGAGACAAGGCAGCCCAGTGACAGGGTCGTTCCATGAGGGGCTCCGGGCTGTGCTTGCAGCCCATTGCTTTGGCTTTTGTACTTCTGTCACAGCCTTCCCCGTTTCCTGTTGTACTTCAATTCAGGTCAAAATAAGTTTTCATTTCCGGAGGGAACCCCTGGAGGAGAACATTGTGTGGCTGACACAGGCTCTTCTGAAAACCCTAGTTGCAAGGTTAATACAGGGGATCCCTCACTGGACTCAGTGACAAAGAAGAACAGAGCCAGCCACATTGCCTGGGCTCAGCCGTGCACTCTCAGCCCTCGTCTGGAGGCTCTTTTGGCACAGAAAGAGTTAGTGGTGCAGGGAGAACAAATGTGGCCTCACAAGAAGAGAGGCCGCTGTCCTTTGCGGAGGGGACTCTCACCCCATTACCTGTCTGTGCCTGTGGGCCCTGGCACACTCAAAGGGTGCCTGTGTGTATGTGTACTTTATTTAAGTAGGAATCGGAATACCAAATTTACAGTGTGTCTGAATATATGCTTGTGCACGCTAATACAGCACAAAAGGCAAATGTGTATCCTTGCAGTTGTTCACTTGCACACCCAATTTTAAGGGAAAACATGCAAATATTGCGATGCAGAGAAAGGAACCTCTTTCCCCGGTGTTGGACCTGCTGTCCCATCAGGCGATGTACACTGCCCTTTACAAGGTTAAAAAATAACATGTAAAATATTTGACATCATTGTTACATGATTTAAAAACTTTCTTTCACAATTTTGTAGATCCGTATCAGATTCTTGGACCGACCAGCAGCCGACTTGCAAATCCAGGTGAGAAGGGATTTTGCTGATTTAGGAGGATTGCTCTTCACTGCTAGTGTCCCCACTTCAGCTGTAAGGCCAGACCTGGAAGGTGATGTGACCAATTTTATCACTCTTCAGTATGATTCAGTGGGAGCTGATGCTACCCAATGTGTTGCAGGATTAGGTTTCTAAATCACGCAAGGGTGGGACTGAGGTCACAGATTAAGACAGATAAACTCATGTATCTTAATGTAGGTATCTACACATGAGCTAGGTGTCTTATTTCCCATGATATTCACTGGAGACATAGTTAATATAGCTCTCCATAGAGAGCTATTCAAATCATCCTAGAGTAGATGGTTACATTCAGTCAGTCAAATACCTCATTAGAGGTATTTCAACTCCTCATATCAATAGGCAACTTCAGTTGCCTAAACATCGGGATTTTGTTAAGTGCTGTAAGATATCCCATCTGGCCTCCAAGTACCCCTCCAGAAGGGCGTGAGTCTCTTCTACCGATCTGCATCATACGTGTTCCAGATTCTGTTAATCCACATTACAATGCCATACTGACCTTGACAAATACAAAATTTTGGGATGAATAACCCAAACCAGCAAAAATATATAGGGGAAAAACAGGAAAGCATAATCTATTTGCAAAGAATAATTGGGTTAGACACTTCAGAAATGTTCTCCCACTTTAAGAAGGCCGCTACAGAGCACGTTGTGGACAGGGGCTTGTAGCGTATTTTAGCTAAAGACGAGGAACCTTCTTGGTGAGTTAATAACTCTGATTGTGAACTGTGCAGATTTCACCGTTGCTGCTGGGAATCCGCAGGGGACACTGTGGCCATACACCACCATAATCAACAACATAATCTGCCACAACGGATTGACATTGTATGTGCCACTTCCTATTTCCCTTGCTTTAACAGCCACAGGGCACAGTGTTCCTTGTTCCACATGGCAGGTCTTCTCAACCCTCAGTAACAATGTTTCTTCTTACAATGACAGTATGGCTTTTCAAGGCACGAAATCGCCAAAATACTGATCCATTTCCTTTCACTTTGTCCCAAGTGACATCAAGCACAGTTCTAGATTAGCTTACTTTCTAAATGGTTTTGCATGGCATAGGAAAGCAATTAAGTATTAAGAACAGGATTTTCCAAATGGCCTAAGGCGGTGGGTTTCCAGGTGACACTGATCTTAACTGGAAGTGGGGGCCTACCTCCCTTTAATTTGTCCATAAACCCCGGCTTTTACAATTTTGTCAAGCGTCCATTTGGTAGCCTTCATTACTGTGGAAGACACTAACATGATCTGGATGGGGATACTTTTTTAACATTTGGATATGGAATTCCTACACATCATCATTCCTGTGCTTTAACATGTTTTGTGTGTTTATAAATTGGTGGAATTACTCTCTCATTAAAAGGAAATTGACAGCAACCATTTATTTTCATAGGACTATATATTACATTTGGAAGGCAAGTGTTTATATTAGAACATATGTTGGATTGCTTATTCAAAAATTTGTGTTTTGTCCAGTGCTGAACTGTTTATTGATTTCCAAAGGCTAATCCTCTTGTTATATTTCGTGTATTAAAACTTGCATGCCTTGCTCATACCATGGATTCTTTTGTTTGTTTGTTTACTTAATGCATGTTAATGGAACAGAAGAAATTCATTAAGGACACTTTGGATAAATATCACTTGAACGAATATGGTTTTCAGTTGCACTGAAGTATAAACTGCGAATGGATTTCAGATGCTACTCTAGCTTGATATTATAATTCGCTACTATAAGCTTTCTAAAGAAAAGCTTGTTTATTATACCCACATATCTGGTGTGGAAAAAAAAAAGAAACCCAACCAGCTCCTGGTCAGAGATGTACTTAGAAGTTAGCACATACAAGCTGGTTGGCAAATTCTGCTGACATTGTGCTTGTGAAACAGACTGCCTTGCAAGCTGCTTCAGCTGTATTTTGCATCATTTCAGTGCTGCTTTATTAAGAAATACTATGCTTTTAACATGAATATCAGTGGCAAGGCCCTTTGAAATGTACTTTTAATTGACTAAAATGGTCAAATTTTGTTCCTGTAACTCAGGGCAACACAATTCTGCAAAGTTGACAGCAGACTAATTATTTTCTTTTTAAGATGAAATTGGCAGAGGAGGGAGAAAAAAACAACAACGTTTTAAGTCTGAACTTCAATAATCATTTAAACTCGTTTGACACAGAACGATGACAAGAATGTATTTTATGGACCTTTTCACTGTTCTTGCAAATGTTTTGCCCTATGGTTGTATGCAGCGCAACAGCAAGCTAATAAGTTTCCGTTCTGCATTTCCCCAAATGCTGCAAATGGATGATATGGTTTGGCATGAGCCCAGCTTTCTCTAAACTTCTCCATTTTGTGTAGGCTTATTCCATAGCAGAGAACATTTAGTTGCAACATAATGCTGTGAGAACAAGCAAAATGTTACGCAAGTGAAAGCTGTTTGTCCTGAACTTTAGAGATTAGTTTCCTAAATGAGCGCTGTATTATTTCCCCATCAATTGTCTACACTGAATGACATTAGGTAACTCTTAAATCTCCATGTAATGGCATTCTGCCACTCAGATGAGGGAAAACATGACACATTACCATTATCTCTGCTGTTTAGGATTTCATGAGACAGGGCTGGGAGAAAGGGGACTAGGTAAGAGTAAGAAGTAGGAACCGACATTGCAACATTTCCTAATAGGGTCCTATGTGAGAGCCTGGAAGAATTGATGTCTTAACATTATTAGTCACTAGTCCTGACACTTCTATTTCGTTTCCCCCTGCAGGGAGCGGGCAGATACAGCTATGGCAGTTCCTGCTGGAGCTCCTCTCGGACAGCTCCAACTCCAACTGCATCACCTGGGAGGGCACCAATGGGGAGTTCAAGATGACCGACCCCGACGAAGTGGCTCGACGCTGGGGGGAGCGGAAAAGTAAACCTAACATGAACTACGACAAACTCAGCCGTGCGCTTCGCTACTACTATGATAAAAATATTATGACTAAGGTTCATGGTAAGCGCTACGCCTACAAATTTGATTTCCATGGAATCGCTCAGGCTCTCCAGCCTCACCCCCCAGAGTCGTCCATGTACAAATACCCATCAGACCTCCCCTACATGAGTTCCTATCATGCGCACCCTCAGAAGATGAACTTTGTAGCTCCCCACCCCCCTGCTTTGCCCGTAACATCGTCCAGCTTTTTCGCTGCCCCTAATCCGTACTGGAATTCACCAACTGGAGGTATCTACCCCAATACCAGGCTGCCAGCTGCTCATATGCCTTCTCATCTTGGCACCTACTACTAAGTGGGGAAGAAAAGAAACACCAGAGAAAGCAAAGACACTTCTCGCTGGGATAGAGTCCCTGATGAATTGCAATGAACTCTATTGGAGTACACGAATTAAAAGTGCCTAAAGAGACAAGTGAAGGTTTGGCTGGGAAAAAACACATTAAAAAATAGATGTCAAAAAGACTCTTTGTAGTAGGGATTTGAAGGAGATATTCAAGAAGTATTAAGATACTAAAATGTAATGTATATGGGCATCGACTCTGTGGACCAAACAACAATAGACTATTGTAGGTAAAAGCATGAAATGATAAGGAAAACCTACGAAAGCTAGTGGTCTTAAAAAGTTGATAAGCTTATGTGTAAAGTTTGATATCTTGCTAGTGCAAAACTGGGACTATACTACAGCAATATAAGGATAAGTCTATAGTGACCTAACATACAATATATGAATCATTACAAAAGAGGGGGGAAGAAGGGAAAAAAAAAAAAGAAAAAAAACATACCTGTATTTAAAAAAAATCAAAACATATCAACAAAAGAGACTGGTTTAGTGTGGAAGCTGATTTGGATTATAACAGCATTGTTTTGGTTAAAATCAAATGCGTTCCATTCATCAGAGTGTTATCAGCTACTCAAACTGTGAAGACAATCCAGACTTTAAGATTCCTTGACAGTATTACAGGAACCCTGAGCCAAACATTGGAAATGAGAATGTGCTGAAGGGCAAGTGTATGATTGTAGATCAGAGGCCTGCACCTGACAGAGGAAGCGGAAAGGAGAAAGAGGAGGACATAGTGGTGAGAATGGGAGAAAAGAAACTTCTTTACCAGTAGAGACTGAAAAGACTGAAAACTTAGTAGCGTGGGACTATGAAGAAACACTTGTTTGGACTTGTGAAACATATTGCTCAGTATCATACCATTCCCAGTATTACAGGAGGAACAGACTTGATTTTATAGTAATAAAAAAAAGTGGAAAAAGGGAAAAGCAGAAGAATTCAGAAATCAGAATATGCATCTCTTTAAAAAAAAAAGTAAAACTGGAATTGTGTTTGATATTTAAAAGTTACCAGTTAGAACCTCATCGTTATTAAGGGAGTTTGTTTTCTATTGGTTAAAGCAAGAGACAACCCCTGACTGCCAAAATCAGAAATCATCTAAGTATTTTTGTTAGGCGGGCGCCAGTTTTTCTTTATCGAGTCGCGAACGCTGTGCGTTTGTCAGAATGAAGTATACAAGTCAATGTTATTTTTTCCTTTTTATATAATTATATAACTTATGCATTTATACACTACGAGTTGATCTCGGCCAACCAAAGACACAAAAAAGGGACAATCAAAACTATTGTGGCCTTGAATTTTAACTCTGTATGCTTAATGTTTACATTATGAACATATTAGTACTTAGAATGCAGAATGTATGTAATAAAATAAGCTTGGCCTAGCATGGCAATTCAGATTGACACTGTAGTTTGCATTTGCATTTGCATTTTTAGTGCCTGACACACCTATCAGATCTCCTACTCACCAAGTTAAAATATGCTAGGCATTTTGTTTTAAAATTTTGTTTTGTGAAATCTGTCAATCATGAAAATGTAGGACCAAATAGCAATGCTTAGCGTAAGTTCAAAGCAGACAGGTGCTGTGTATCTTCTTTTCCAGACAGTTCTGCTACAATACTTGCAGCCCTTCTTTAACAGTGCCTTGCCATTCTTGTCCTGAGCTTCTTTTGCCCTGAGATTGCAACCATGCCCAATTCTTTGACAACTTCACGGCCAAGATTGAAAATGAAGTCTAAAGGAGGCCTCTAAGGAAGAATACTGACACCCAGAAATTAACTTTTGTTGCCGACAGATTAGGCGGCATAATCTCAGCCTGAGATGTATTTTCATACTGAATCATATGTTGAATTACCATGCCCCCTGGCTATTAATACATACTGTATCATTATTAGTAAATAAAGTGAATAATGAATAACTTCCATTATTCCTCACTTTAGAATGGAGTATATGGTAGCTTGTTAATTTGTCATTGCAGTCCATCCTGGCTGTTTACAAAGGGCAGGATGTTTCCTTTCTGTTCTAGATTTAGAGGCTTCCCACACTGCACCCTGGGCCCCGAAACTACATCTGGTGCCTAATGGCATGACTCCGTTTTTTTGCAACACCAGCTGAAGAACTGGTCTGGAAAATCAGCAGTGACATTTATGAGTGGCTCTCCGCAGTAGGCAGTGTTTACTGCAGAGACCCCAGACAGCTCAGACCTCCAACTCTATCCCTCTTTTTGCTGTTCTTTTGTCTCTTTTTCAGACAAAATGGGTGCGGTTTCAGGTTTTATAGCAAATGTTCTGCTTATCCGTTGTGTGGAGCATTAATCAGTGCTGTGCAATGGGAACCTACTTGCCAGACTCCCATGTTATGGGTGTCTTGGTGGCAGTTTATAAGCACAGGATTATATTACTAATGTTTGAGACTTGAGCGGTGGCATCATAAGCCCTGTGATCGTTTGGGAAATAAGCACTGTAAGTCTGTATCTCTTAAAAGCTAAAAACTCACGGAAAGGTTAGAAAAACTGAACTCTTGGAAAAGGTTAGTCACTCACTGTTTTAGAAAGTTATGGCAGGCACACCTACATGCTGACTATAAGAATAATAGTTTGCCTTTCAGTGGAAATACATCTACAGATGCTTGCTATCTACTTCATGTGTACTTCCAACTCAAAAAACGGTAAGTGTATTGTTGAACCACCTTTTAATTAAACACTTAAAAATCCAGATAAAACAACCATTTTTGTTTAGATTGGCAAGGACATGCCTGGAGGCCTCCAAAACATCCCCAGTGCTCACAGAGCTGCCTGCAGGATTTCCAGATTGTGTTGCCTGGCTGCTATCATGTGCAATGGGAACAAGATCCTGACATTAAAAGAAAGGGTCCAAATCCTGGGACAGGGATGGAGTCACAGCAGGTGGCATGGTGGAGACCCCCTCATGATGAAGAGCAAAATCCTACAGTAGGCCATGGGTAAGCTCACTGGTGAACCAGTCCAGGACACCTGTCTTAGAGCTACACCTTTCCCGAGGACCAGCTCACAGCTTTCCAGGAGCCTTGGAAAACCTGGATTTTGCAACCCTGAGGATGAAGAGGAGAGTGAAGGATGGAGACATCCTACTGCTGCTGCATTGGGACGGGTGGCTCTGCTACTTGCAGGGCCTCCCTACCCAGGGGCAGCAGCTGCCCCACGGGGTCTTCCTGCTGGAGGGCAAGGATCAGCCCAGTGTCCCAGGGAACTGGCACAGGCAAAACAGGCAGCGGACTCGTGGTAGTGTGTCTGCTGATCGCTGCTACCCAATCTGGCCCTGTTAGTGGGAGCCAGGAAGACTGGAGCGAGGCCAGAGTTTTAGGGACTGGTTCCCAGTTCAGACCAGGACAAGGCATGGACCCAGTACAGCCAAAATCCTCAGGTAAGCTGAGCAAGTCTGTGTGCATACCACGAGAGGCGTTCACGTGAGGCTCAGCCAGACCCCATGACCTCAGCTGAACATGCCGTCTGTTTGCCATTTAAGCACCTGGATGCATGGACAACATGGCCCTGATGAGTCCACGTTTGTACAAGTTGGTCATGGTGATAACTTTGGCCGTTTGTTTAAATCAGAACTTCTTTTAAAGTCAGTTATCAGTCAAGTCTCATGCCTTATTACAGCGCTCTGAGGACTGCTCTGAAAGTAGAAGCTTTATTTCTCCTGAAATTTAGAGATACATATGTGTGCTTATCTTTCACCAAGAAATACACATCTGTCTGAGAAGCTACACTGTAACATGGGAAGTGATGGTGAGAAAAGTTTTAAAAGTAAAACTAGGAAGCTCGAATTTCACTGTTCTCGATCAAGATATTTCCCCTGATATTAAATTGGTTTTAGTGAGTATATAAAAAATGCCTTCGAAGGATGTATTTTACAACACTTGTATTGTGATCCTTAAGGGAAGATCGACAGAGGTTAGGACAGCAGAGCACCAACTGTAATGAACTCCTTCATTCCCCATACTTTCCACATTTAGAAGAGTCCACGTTGGGTACCTCAAACGCCACGTGCTTTTTAAACTGCCCACAGAAACACAGGGATCATAGTGATTTAGACTTTCTTTTGCAAATTCTTCTTGCTCAGACTGTTTCTTACACCAGCTAAGATCTAATTTTAAAATAAATTTTTAATTACAGATGCATTAAAAAAGGTAAAAAACCCCACTCTACCTTATTTTATATGCTTAATGATTCCATGATCTTTTTCTGTGCCACCTTCTCAAGTTTTGGTCACATCAGGGGAATGGCTCTGAGAATAGTCTCTACTTACCTGAATCAGTGGTAAGTCAGAATGGCACCTCATCCATCCAAAGGATTCCGTTAACTCATGCCTGAATTTTAACTGCCTCCTGAAGCAATCCTGATGCAACACAAGTGCTTAGTTCCCTATCTGGTCAGTGGAGGGAGTCTTCAGATATCTTCACAGCAGATCCTGCCTGCCTGCCTTTGGGCAGGATCCTTTGTTAAGGAGATGAGGTGCTACCATGGAGGCTCACAGCGGATGTGGCTAGTCCTTGGGCTTGGCTGGGACCTTGCTGACCATCAGCAAGACAAGCCCTTTCCTGAGTGACAAGTAACCCAGTTATGTGGCAGCAGCATCTGGTGGAAAAAAACAGAGCTCCTTTGTGCTTTCTTGGTAAAGATATTTCTTCTTTTTTTCTCCTCACTGGAGTTGTCACATCCCTCGCTGTGTTGGGCTGTTTGGAGAGCCCTTCATCATCAGAGCTCGGCCAAGAGCTCACAGCCCTTAGGGTTCAGAGGGGGCCACCCTCCAGCATGTGGCATTACACTGAGAGAGGCAAGGGCTAAGGAGTCCATGAAGCCTCCCCCTTAGTTAATTAGCACTATGCCTCTCTCTCCATAATGAACACTGCATATACACACACCTGGTCGAGGCATGAAGCTCTCGGCTATACGCCCTCTCATGCCTCTGACCATCTGGTTATGTCTTGACCTCTGTGCAGACCACACAAGTGGGTCACACCAGGATTTCAGCAAGAGAAAACATGAAAATGAAGTCTGGGTAAGCCACACCATTTTCAGGAAGCACATGAGGCTGCTCAGAAGGCTGTCCTGGCTCCCTGCTTGTTTCCAGGCTTCATCTGCAACCCTCAAAGTGGCTTGACTCCACCACTGCCTCTTGGGCGGTGTGACCGCTCCTTCAGGGCACTGGCAGCTGAGACTACATCAGATGCATGACCCAGTGAAAGCCTTGCTTGAAGAAGGGGGACCACTTGGTGAGCTGGTTAATGAGGATATTAGGCCAACTGCAATGTGGAAAATTGTTTCAAAATGTAATGGCCATCATTGTTTTAAAAAGGCACATATTTTCAAGAAAACTAAATAAAACAGCCAGGCTGCTTAGGCTAGGAATTGCCCTGAGATGTACTCTTAAATCA